TCTGAGTAGAGCGATGAATGTATTGATTTTACGATGATGTGAGTTTTTAATTTTTTAATTTTTGTGTCTGTCATCTCGGTTTTTAGCAATTCTGGTAGAAAAGTGAATCTAGTTGGTGCATTAAGAGGGTCAACATTTTAAAGTATCAATATGTTTCATTTACAGAAAAAAAAAACAAAAAATCATGGAAAACGGGAATTATTACTCAAAACTAGTTTTTGAAAAAATCGAGTGTGTGTGTATGTGTGTCAAGGATATGTTGGCAAAAGTCCTGGGTGGTCACCTATCCGGGAGTAAGTAACACCGTCCGGTGCTTACACTCAGAGCGTGTACTTACTTAAATTAGTGTAGCAACACGCCACAGCAAGGTTACCTAATTGTATTTATTCATTACATTTAAAATTAAAACTGTCCATGGTAGGCAAGAGCATATAAGACACTCAGATCTTACTCCTCTTTAATTTTTAAAGTTTTGTAGTTTTGGAAGCAAGTATCTAATTTATGAATTTATTTTAATAATTTTCAAAAGGTCACATAAGAAATCTGGAAATTGTTCGTGGTCATCGAAATTTCTGACATCATTAAAAATAAATGAACGAAAATAATAAAATACAACACAAGAACGTTTAAATATTATCAGTTTTACTTTTTTTTCTAGTCTGCATGCCGAAATCTGTCTACGCCGCCATTTGGTGACTCCTACCCTATACTAATTTAACCTTCAAGTTTCAACAATGACTTTAGTAACGATAGTAATACATATTACATACTAACATTTAATCGTTATAGTACATATGATAACTGATACAATTTATAAATTACAGCAAAACAATAAATACGTGTAAATAGTGTGAAATATATTATATTAAGAGGACGTTATACTCGCATGTGTTGTCTCCGCCTGACAAGTACATAACATATCCAATTTTACGTTCAGCAGATCACGCTTAGCTCTGTTAGCTTAAAAATTAGAGTGAATTGATCTCTTATTAAAATTAAAGGTAAGATTATGACGGAGGGCTTCTCGTGGGCTTTTTATTTAATTTTAATTTTAAAGAGAGTTATGAGTAGAGGTCGGATTTATATTCTCTTAAAATCCTTAAAATATGATGTTTTTATGTCACATAAAATAGGCAATATATTTTCTTAATATTCCTTTGAAATACCAGATATATAATGTTTTACAACCTTAAATATACAAAATATTCTGTTTTAAGTATATTTAATTGAATTAATTTTACAATAACAATTAATAACTATATATTGTTCTATGGATAGTCGTGCCAGCTAACGAAATAACCGATGTGCTGTCGCAATCGATAAAGAATACAAAAAGAATAATATTTATTAAAACGAGAAATATGTTCATTATATGCCGGATATTACAAAAATATTCTCAAACATTCTCTAACGTGTTAAATATTCTCTAACACCTAAAATATGCTTTTTTATGTAAAATACATTTTTTCCTGTGAATTCTGTGTTTCACGATTTGTAAAGATTTCTCACTCCCACTTAACTGCATGGATTAGAAACAAATATGTAAAATCATAAAAATCATAAAAATCCGACCTCTAGTTATGAGTATTTTAAGTCGTACAAATAATTTACAATTTTAAAATATTAAAACGTCAGCATATCATGATCTATCTATTGACTCCACACATGGACCAATCTGTGCATTCATTAGCTCTGTACGTCTGGCTAAAGAAAATGGGGAACACACATTTTATGGGCAAACTCTGGCTCGTGAAATATACCACGGTAGTGACCGCTCAGCTTTTTTTTTTTTACTTAGCTTTGCTCCACCATCTTTCACTGGATTATTTAATATTCTTAAATACGCTATTAGCAAACATAATTTAATTTCCTTCTGTTCTGTTTGTCATTAATATTTTAAAATTGGTCAGCATTTTAAATTAAAAAAAAATAATTTTATCTTAATTTTTGAACAATATGTATCTATTAATATATTTATATAGGGTAAATTGTAAGTACTTATTCATTAAAAAAAATATAAATGAAATTGTAAAACGTATGGTTTTAACTTAACTAACTTCTACTATATCCATGTCTGTGGGTAATAGAGAGTATTATTACCAAATCTTATCTCATACATAAAATCAATTAATTTTAAATTTCTATGATTTTCCTGTTGACAATTTAGGAAAATATAAGTTAATGCACTAACCTTGTTACCCAGCGAGTCTTACTACTTCGACTCAAGAACTAGGTAATTTATGTTGGAAACTAATACTAGTATTTCAAATGGATGGTTTATAAACTAATATGAATCATTTCAGTCAATTTATTTTATTTTTAATGTTCTACATATTAATCAATAGTTATAGCAAAAACTTCAAAACTAAAAAATTATTACATTATTAGGTAATAATTTTAAGAATATATTGTGCATTTTAACTAACGTCAAATATAATGCTTCACTTCATAGATATTACTTTTAAATAATCTTAAATAGTCTGGACAAAAAATTCAAATCTTATTTTGAATCCTTATCTTTTCATTAGAGCGATTGAGACATTTGTCAAAAAACATCTAAAATCTTAAATTGAGCTTGTGTTCAACAAAAATAGAAAGAAACGGTATCGAATTCCCTTAATGTAAAATGAGGATAAAGGAGGTATATATAAAATAATATACTTATGAAATATATCTCCAATAAATGTATTAAAAGTTTAATTATGCTATATTTTTGTATATACTTAATATAATATAATAACTAACTTTGATTTATTTTAAATTACAATTTTATCAAAAAAAAAATATGTACCTTGGTATTTTTTTCTTTTATGACTAAAATTAAAAATGTATAATAAAATTAAATCACAATTAAATTAAAAAATTACAAAATAAATAATATTAAAAAAAAATAAAATGTGTTTGGTTCACGTGCTTTAAGATCAATTTAACACAATAACCCTTCTTAATATATTATAAAACGTATTCCTTCAAATAAAGTTTATATAGTTTGCCTCGTTAATGACCACCCTTAGTTATATCTAACTTACAATGTCTGAAATTATAAGCATATATCACAAACCACAATGTGAATTGTATATCATTCACTGTGAAGGGTACAATGTGTATATAGTAGTATAAAATACACAGATTTGGATAATTAATTATAGATACCTACAAATATTTTTATATTATAAAATTCCCTTTTTTTTTAGAATTGTTTTATTAATTATTTTCATAAATATTATTTACTAAATTAAAATTTCACTTAATCGGTCAATAATGCAATGCATGCGAGATATATGCATTTTCAATGAATCTGCTTTAAACGTCTTACCTGTCTTTGTTACTTTTCATTTTGTTTATGTACTAGTTATCTGTCATCTATATTCAAAAACTCAAATTCAACAAAAAAATAAAATCTTAAATATAGGTAATCCAATTTATTCTTTTAAGTGGTCATGTATAATTATTCATAAAGTATTTTCAGAAGGTTAGCCCACATGTTGAAATAGATTGAGTTTCACATTGAAATTTGATTCACAATACGCATGCCGCTATAACATTATTTTAATAATGAAAATAATATATATGTATGTATAAAACTTGAATTGAAGCCTTAGTGTTGAAATAATGGTATTAATTTTTCTAAATTGTTTAAATATTATTTTAAAAATGAAATAAAAGTAAATATTTATGTATCGAAGACTATAACGAAGATTTTATTCACATTGTGTGAAGCATGTCCTTGCTCAACATAAGCAAATACATGCAATATATGGAACCTTTATTAAGAATAAAATTAAATAAATAACAATAATAATGATAGCAGCATATACACAATTGAATGAATCATTTAAAATAATAATATTAACACATTGGAGACGACAATTTTTTAAAGCATTGTTACGTTGAGGACGAGTGCCGTGTCTAACACGGTCATAGTTTTTTAGTATCGGAGACGAAGTATTTTTAGATATTGCAACGTTGAGGAGGACGCTTACCGTGTTTAAAACGGGCAATATTTTAGCGTCTAAAAGACGAACACCGTGTTTTACAAGAAATCGTTTAAATATATCGATATTTAATTTATATTCAATTATAATATAAATTATATTATAATATCGCAATACCAACAATTGTTTCGATATTTTTTTCGATTATATTATAAAATAGTCCAAAAATTATAATAAATAATTATGTCGTTGACATTTCGCCATCGACCATTGATAGATTACGATCTCCTGGGAGTCAAGTTCTATTATTTAATTGTTGTTGGCTTCTTCTATTCGTTTTCTTTGTTTATAATACATTTTTCGTATTATTTATTAATATATTAATTATTATTAATTATACATTTTTATGATTACAAAGTTATAAACATTACATACATCGCGTGTTTACAGAAAAATATTATTATCGAAACGAAACAAAAATAACATTATTTTTTTAGTCCTTTTCTCCTACTATAAAAAAAAGTATTGTAGTTGGTATAGTCATAAAAAATACGACAAGATAAAATAAAATAATTATCTCGGTCAACTTTTTGTTTTGACGGTTGGAACTGTCGTAATAAGCCGTATATTACATACATCGTGTTCTAGATAATCATATTTATTTTTAGACCTATATTTAGATCAACACTCAGCGAGTTCGATGAAAAAAAAAAGGAATTAATCGGATTATTCAATAGCGAGTAAAAAAATATGGAAAACATGAGAAAATAGCCCGTCCACACAACAAATAATTGGCGGGAAATGTTCGTCCGTATACATTAAACCCACGTACCGCGTTAAACGCGGCATTCGTCTCCAACGTATTAACATTGAAAAATTCTAGCGTCTCACTTATCTTAAAACCGTGGCCGTGCCTAACACGGTACTCGTCTCCAATGTGTTAACCAAAAAACCTCATCAACACATTCTTGTTCAGCTAGGAAATAATAATAATTGTAAGAATAAAAACATTGACTTATAAAGTATTCATTATATATTTTATCTGAAATCTATTTAATACACCTTATATTTAGAATTAGATATTATATAATTAAATATGTTGTAATCGTGAAGTGTGATAAACTTGAATAATGTCGCCGTCTTCCATGTTTAGAGATGCTGCAGTATCAGTGGTAGCAACTCTTCTTCCATTGAATCGGAATATGACATTTGTCAACTCTAAAATCTAAAATATTATAATTTTAAATAGATTTAAAAAAAAATATTGTAATTATATTAGTCCATAATTCAGTGACTGGAATTTTAATGTTTACAATTGCTAAATTTCTTTTTGATTTTTATACTTACATATCTTTCACAATATTTCTGCATTAATTTCCCAAGTGGAGTAGCCCTTGCAATTTTGAAGTACATAAACATTCCATCTGGTGTGCGTACTTTTAATATAATTTTCAAAGAAACAACAGGCTGTACACATGACGTTGATGTATCCTAAAACATTATACATTTTTATTTTGTATTTATTGTGATTTAAAAATTAGTACAATTTAAATGTATACCAAATAGTTCATGTTCAAATGTTATAATTTTTAATAAACTGTAGATAGTAATATTAAAGACATAAACAAGATTCAACACTTTTTTGTACTCAATCCATAATCGATTTGTATGAATCACACGATTATTAACTTATGAAATTAGTTAATGGTTAGAAGTTAGTCTAAACTTATAGTGCCAAATATAATCAACATCAATTATAGGTAATCATAATTGTCACAGTATGAGATGGGTCCATGATGTAGACAAATTTCGGGTATGAGCTAAATAGTTTTATGAATAACATAACCACTTCTGGTACTATCGACAACTACCATAGGAGTATAGGACAATAACTCCTTGGGTGATGCCTTGATGAGTACGCAAACCTGATGCTGTTTTCAAAATGTTTTACAAGACATAGGTATTTATGAAACCAACGACCGTGCTCGAAATTGAAATAAAACACGTCAACAGACCGGATTGATGCCGACGTAATTTATTACGATAAAAAACACGGAAATGCGAAGAAAAAAGGGCCAACTAGGGATGCGATTATGATTTTCAATACAATACTTTATTTCGTATCCACAGTTGTCATTATATTACATAAATAAGTTACGTTTTCAGTTATAATGAGAGGACGCCACATCCTCATGTGTTGTTTCCGTCTAACAAACGTGTAACATACCAAGTTTACGTTCGGCATAAAACGTGAACTGCTGAGCGTAAATTTGACATGTTACGCGTTTGTATGACAGAGACAACACATGCGGGTGTGGCGTCCTCTTAAATTATAATAATTGTAGTAAATTACTCTGTCAAATTTAACAAACTAACCTTGTTAATAGGTTAGGTTAGGTTATGCTAGGTATTTAATTTACTTTTTCGCGGAAAAAATGCGCAAGCAGTCCCCGCGGCACCGTCAGTTCAAAACGAAAAAAAAAAGTTATTTAATTTACTTACCACTTCGCTATCGGCCATTTTTTATTGTTCTTTCAAAAATGCTGAAAAGATCAAACGAAGGTGAAAGAAATGAGTCTATAATAGTTACTGATAGTTGGACAACTCTCATGCAATGTTACGTGACGCAGACATAAGCGCTCCCCGGTATGTTTTTTTCTTTTATAAAATAAAACGCTAACACGGTGGCACATCCCGATGGCGCAGCCCAGTGGCAGTCTCAGAACTAATCTCCGATGTGGCGCGCCAAAATGCCAACCGACATAAAATCATCGTACAATACTACCAACCGTAAATGTGTGTACGCAAATCGCATCGTAATGAATTGTCAAAAAGTTACGCTATGAGACTAGTTTTTATTTGTCAGTTGACTTTCATGGTTAAACCTTAGATGATATACTATGGATGGAGCCACGGCGTATTTTTTTGTTGCCGATATTACCGACGAGCCTCTTAATTCTGTGCTCGATATGCGCATACGCGAAGTTACTGGTCTCATTTTTACCAGTTGGGGAATCAGATATCAGTGTAATCAGTCAATTGATATTTGATATTAAAGTACGGTATTTTATTTATTGTTTTATATTATACATTTATACGTCTATGAAACTTTGTATTGTATGGTATAATAGTTTTTCTATTATATAGTATTATACACATTATACACGGTATAAAATCCTGTATCCTATCTTTTAAGATATATAAATTTAAAATTACATATTATAAAATTTAAACTTGATTACTCGACAATTTGTACGAATTATTATTCACTCATTTATTTACTGCAAAATAAACTTGAATTATTATCAAAATTAAAAATTTGTTTTACTCTCACAACAAAAGGTCTTTGATGGTAGTTGAGAAAAGTCCAACCAAGCGCCATGGATTTAATGAGTGTTTACAGTGTGGCCGCTTGGCCAAAGCTCGAGTACCGAGCCGATTTCCAGTTTCCACCGCCCACCGACCGGACGGTCAGGGCCGCTTTCCATATCACATCTGTTATCGGACGCGTCGGGTTTTTCGAAATCCGTTGACTTTTTTCCTTTTCGCCCCCCGTTCTTCCGCTTGCGACTTGTTTTTCGGCCCCGTTCGTGCTCCGTTCGCGTTCTTCGTAGAGTTTTACGTTCACTAGAGTCGAGTTTTCTTTCGTGCGCCATCTGTGGCGTCCGAGATGTCGATCGCAAAAAGTGCCTCCGGCCCTCCGCCGGTCGTCCATGGCGCGGATTTTTATTTCTTTTAGTTTTTTCTCGAACCGGTTCAATTTTCCGACACCCGTTTGTGTCTGAATCGCGTAATCGACGTCTTTTGGATCCCGCGCATGTGTGGTTTTCGCTCGAAATAAGTTCTCACACTTCGCAATCGCTTTGAGAACGGACGAGGGTGGGCGGCTTCCGATATCGCTGTTTTTCGTTCTTATTGATCAGCGTCTGTGCAGCGATCGCACGCTGGACGTTTTTTAAAAGCCGCCGGTATGCCTTTCGTTTGTGAATTCGGTCTGTAGCCTCCGCGGTCGCGTTTACAAACCAAGCTCTAGGTCAACTTAGCGGAAGTGTATACCTATATATATGCATATATATATATGGTTTTTTTGCTTTAATTCAAAATAATAAATTACAGTGTAACGTGGTTTTTATCGTTTTTGCCACAGATACTATATTATCAAAATAAACACCCAATTACATGTATACGTATATAAGGGCATAGTATGAGGTGAGTAGGTCAGTCAATGTTGTTAAACCGTTTAATATTTTTTGGTGTTGTATATTAAAACATATATGTAATTTATAAGTCAGTTGAGCACACAAATATTGTGAAACAACTATTAATAGATAAAACATAATATTTTAATTGATATGCATAGCTATTAGAGTTATACTGAGGGTGCAGCTGTGACTGAGCTCAATGCACAAAAAAACAATTCTAAATTCTGTATCTGCATAAGTAGCACATATTTTTATCATGTAAATTAATTAAACTATGAGAAATAAATCAAATTAACAAATAGATAATTTACATTAGCTACTCATTTTTAATTAATAGGTTATACTAATGTTGACACTTGTATATTGCTGGACTTGTACACATTTCTGTTGTTTGAATTTACTCAAAGGTAGTACATAACAAATATTGTACAATGTATATTTTAGACTGACTGATGTATTTTATAAATCCATTATAATATTATAGCTTTGAGTATTGTTGAACATAAATAGTACACTGGATTTTATTTTAATGATTTATGAGTAACGTTAAACTGTTTTTATACTGTTTTATGTATGCTCTGTTGTGTGATTCATTTATACTTAAATTAACATAAATACCTAATAATTTATATAATGAAGTCATTAACTTTATTTAATAATTGATTACATTGTGTTTATGTGTAGTGCTCAAATTGTAAAAAAAATTGAAGACAGATGCTAATCTTCGTTCTGAAAACCCACCGTTCCAGAGCTGATGAATTGTAAAGTAACCCGTTGTGGACTTCGTCAACCTCACCCCCTGCACATATAGTAAGACACTATAAAGGTATTATTATTATATAATATTTATTAGCTATTACCATACAACTATTTTATAAAACATTAATAATATTAATAACAAAAATAATTATTATTCTTTAATTAAATTTTACCATGACTTGTACATATTTTCTTCAGTAACTTTTATCTTTTTAGGACAATTTTCTTCCTCTGCTGTTTGTTTGCCTTTCTTAACCCATAATTCAATCCATTTTGTTGTGTTAATCTTAACAATTGGTAGCCCTACACAATTTATAAACATTAATGGTGAAATATTCAAATATGTACTGAACCCAATGAATTTCTTTCAGGGGATACAATTTCATTCATTGAGCTTATTGAACGTGGTGTGTAATATAATGTGTGCACCACCCACAACGGCAATGGTTTTCACTCCAACTTGTCATAATATCGAAACCAAATCATGAAAATCATTAAAACTTGTTTTTTTTTCATGATAATTATAACATTGAAAAATTATCATTTAAATAAAATTTTTTTTAAACTTAACAAAAAATAATAATTTTTCACAACAATACTAACACTTCTGAAAACTGAATACATGGGGTTTTATTTGTAGAATTTAATTTCAATACACAAACAAAAGAAACATAATAGTTACACCTTTTTGTTAAATTCAACCAATTGTTGACCATCAAGGTTGAATTGTAAATATTTTTAAATTCATTTATTTCTTTATATTCATCAAATAAATGAACCAGCTGAACGTAATGTTCAACATTATTCATTTAAATTTCACAGCCTTAGTATCATTTTTAAAAATTTTAAAAGAACTTTGTTTGCTCGTCCTAGGTCTGAAATCGTTGCTGAAACATACAATCCGACTTTGTTGACTTGTTTAACTACCTAAAACATAACAAAATTATTAGAGTTAAGAACTACCAAATATTTGAGGATTACTGCTTCTTTTAATAGGCATACAACTTAACAATTATCGGTGGGTCCTTTGTAAAAAGTATGAGAAATGAGTTCTTTGAATTTTTTTTTTTTTATCTTAACATGAAAATTAAAGCATGGTCTGCAAGTTCTTGATATTTTACATTAGAATTGTTCTCAAATCCATCAATTTCATCAGTTGTTATTGTATAAAAAAATGAACACATATCTCATCAAACATCACTCAACAATATCTGATGCAATGATCTTAATTATAGTATTAATTACTTTTGTCTCCTACCTGTAGATAATTTATAGACTTTGCTGATGATTTGTTAAATTACTTTGTGTTGAAACATTTGAACAAATTTATGGACAGTATCTACTATCTTGTATCTTCCAATATTTATGGATTAGTTCAGTTGGTCGATGATTATAAACATTGTGGGCCTCTTATAAATTGTAGTGTGTTTCCATTTGAGAACTATATGAAAATTCAATAAGTATTTTAAGGCAGCCTAATAAGTCTTTAAAACAAGAAGTAATGAGATATAATGAAAATGGAAACTTTAGTCTTAGTAAAAATGAAACTTTCTTAAGTGGTGATAATGGCTTTTTGTTATGACTTCATAATGATGGACCTTTATTAAGTGGTAGTGTTGATTCACAATTTAGTTCTTTAAGTTTGTATAGTTTTAAAATTAAATATAAAATAGATGCTGATTCTTGTTTTGTTTCTAAAACTCATGAAATTGTAAAATTAATTAATATTGCTCAATCATGTGACACTGGTCAATTGGTTTTGTTTAACGAATAAAATAATAATAATAATAATTTGTATGTATAGACTATCAATGATATTCAAAATAAAGTTATGATGTCATAATTCAATAAAGATTGCATTGCTATCTCTTTATTACATTCATCGTATTTGGATAATTAAGCTTATATAATAAAAAATATATATAATGTTGATTGTTAATTGTTTTGTAAATATCGGTTTCAACTGTATAATTTATACATATAAATTTAGAATAATTGTATTAATGTACCAGATAGGAACCTATACATTTTTAACATACAGACTATTTTTCATTGTATTATGCTAAAATTCTAATACCTTTCTTTGAAAACTTCTACCAAGGTGATTTTTTTTTTTGATGTATGCCAAACAAAACTATAAAAAATACATAAAACAAGTAATTATAGTATTTTATAACATAAAAATAACGTACATACTACTTAATACCTCTTGTTAATTAGTTTGAATGATTAAATTATCTCTGAATATATTTAAATATTTAAATTTTTTTCTATTTACTGTAAACTACAGTTACCTTTATTATATTTTATTGTATGATTGAGCATGTTAACATTATCATTTTGAAAAAAAGCTTTGAAAGAAAAATTATCAAACTATTCTTATTGTCAGTAGATGGATCAAAATGTGGATCGTGGTACATTTCACTAATGAAAATGCTGTTGAATCTGTTCCCAACTATTGGGTAGAAAAAGATGTTTGTGGTTGGCCAAAAAAGTGTACGGAAACACATACATCATAGATCAATCATAAATACTTTTGATTTTGTTTATTTTCCTTCGAGAACCTTAAAAAAAAGGCATTGGTGTAAGAAGTCTATTAAATTGATAATTGGTAATTTGTTTTGAGAGTGGTTGTTAATTGGTTATTATATTTAAGAATAGCCAGTTATTTTGTAGCTAAATCGAAAGTCAAATAAGCTGAGGAGACATCTGATCTTTCAACTGCAAATTCAGACCAAGGTTAGAGGGAAAAAAGTAAAGGTTTTGGACCCTCGTATTTTTATTGAATTGTTAACCAGAGGTAAATTTCAAAATTATTCAATTTTAGTGTTACCAAATTGACTATTAACTATAAACTTTTATCTAGGTAATTTATCAAAATCTTCTAATGATTATATGGCGCTAGAATATTGTTGAATAATGATTTCAAATATTCCAGGGAAAAGAAAATTATTTGATGCAACTTCTTCTAGTCAGGGTATTGTTCTAAAAAAAATAATGATTATATTTTAATAAAAACTCAAGTATAATTATGGCATGAAAATTAAGATAGTATAAATAATAATTTTTACAATAATACTATTAGGTACCGTCTATATATGGTTTTATAAACTATTGTTTTATATTTTTTTTTTCAGATGATTTTTGTGGCTTAAGAAATAGTAACCAGAATATTATTCCTGAGTCACCGGGCATTTTTAACACTTCAATTAATATAAATGATCAATCTAATACTTATGGTACACAATACTAAACTATTCACCTAATATATACTTTAAACAATATATTACACTTACATTATTTTAGAAACTGTGCAAAGTCGACTGTTGTACATTCAACTGCATCGCCATTCAAAGTTACTCCATTAAATTCTAATCGATGGGAAATCATTGAAGTAAACTAAAATATAAGTGAAAGTTCCAGGGTGCTTGGACAAGGTAAATAGGATAAGTGCCAACAGGCCCAATCTCGTTTCTATTAAAATTGTTTAATACATGATACATTCAACTTAAAGATTTTTATCTCCTCTGAATATTGGTCTGAAACAGAAAGTCAAAATTAAAATGGGAAAAAGTTAAAACCGTTGTAATGGAAAAATCTTCTAAGTATAGACTTAATTTCCTCAATGTGTTCAAATATTAATGTTTCTTTTCTCATCAATATTGAATGTGTACTTATATCGAATACCTTCTTGCCCTGCTTTTTAATCACTCTAAATATTAATCTGAGACTGAAAGTCTAAATTAAAGAGTTAAAAATTAATTGTAAATATTGTAGATCAATGGACTGTTAAGTGTTTGTTTACTATCTTCAAAATTAAAACAACTAACTCATTTTCTTTAAGTTTCAAATCTGAATATCTGTGTAATTTTTCTCGAAAATCTTAATCTTTAGTGGAAGTGGCAAGCTGCAAAGGTACTGAATTTGTTTCATTTTTGTTCTATACTTGTCCTGTAATATTGAATAACATTGTGTCTGATGATTATTTAAAAAACATCATGGCCCTTAGTATAGCAATTATGCTATTGTCTCCTAAGTGTAGATCATTTATAGAATTTTCCGATGATTTGTTAAATTACTTTGTTGAAACATTTTGAACAAATTTACGGATAGTATCTTGTGTGTTCCAATATTCATGAAATAATTCATTTGGTTGATGATTATAAATATTATGGGCCTCTTGATAGTTGTAGTGTGTTTCCATTTGAGAACTGTATGAAAGTTCAAAAAAGTATGTTAACGCAGCCTAATTATGCCTTTAGAACAAGTAGTAATGAGATATAATGAAAATTGGAACTTTAGTCTTAGTAAAAATGAAAAAAAATGTACCAGATATTAACCTATACATTTTTAATAAACAGACAGTTTTTCATTATATTATACTTAAATTATCATACCTCTCTTTGTATCTTTACTAAAAGAAAATTATACCAAAAAAAATTGTTTACTACAATAAGTATCTTTGGGAAAAAGAATTGTTTGATGATATTACCATCGAACCATACAAGCCTAACCAACAGGGCAAGAAGTGAAGGCAAAAATTGCAAAGTTATAGTCTCCATTTAGAGTAAATCACAACAAAGTAAAGAGCGGTATTGGTACTCACTGAAGATGTAAATACAATATGTATTTTATAAACATAATATATAAAATATTAATATATTATTATACATTTTTATTTTTTCAGATTTACGTCTCATCACCATGGTATTGTAACGATATTTTATTTCTATAAAAACATAACACCCAGAAAAAGTATCAAAACTCCATTTTCACAGGTCAATAATAATCATTTGTTTTTTATTTATAGTCAATACATTTTGCTTACTTTTTTTAGTATGTAAGCCGGAATAAAATATATTTTTTAGGCATATAATTTCTCTAAAGGAGTACTCTAGAGTCAGTACAGTAATGTATTTGAAGTCGATAATGATTTGGAGGGACAAGACACAATTGCAGACGAAGTAAAAGAGATTATGAATCTAGCTGAAGACAGTTTTGTGAAACGTAATATCAATGAAGATAAAAAACACTAATAATAATGTATGTTAAGGTGGCCAAGTTAATACAGAATATAAATTTGAATAGTCTAATATTTATTACTGAAGTTAATTAGTAATTCTTACTACTTAAGTACACAATTTGGACAATACTCCAATTATCTAACTGTGCACCACTAGTAACGACTATGGTTTTCCACTCCAACTTGTCATAATATCAAAACCAAATAATGAAAAATCAAAGAGCCTGTTTATGTTTTTTATTATAATTCAAGTATTGTTATATAAGCTTAACAACAAATAATAATGATTCATAGCAATCAACACTTCCATTCTAAAAATGAACACTATTTAAAATCATTAGCTGTTGAGATAATTCTTTTTTATTGTTCATTTTCATCAATTACAATTGTTAAATCTATCATTTTAGAGTCTCTTGGATTTTTTTTTGCATTTCAATGTCTGGAATGGAATAATTTCGGTATTTCTTATTTTATTTTGTCTGTGCGTACATTATTTATCTGTGGTGTTTCCCATTTCCAATGCATGAATAGGGGATTTTTATAAACTATTATTTTGATATAAGTATATATTTTATCTAGGAATCCATCGGAAATTTGTAAGATACTATTTTGTTAAACTTGTTATGGGGGCAATCTTAATGAATAATAAACTAGTTAATACATTGAATAATATGTTATTGTTATAATAATTACTTTGAGGAGAAGATTAATACTATTATATTATGTTTATTTATATAAGCTAAAACACGATTAGTGTGATAGATACCCACTCTAATAAGTTTGTCTAAAGTTTTAGTGCACTAATAAAAAAGTTTTAGTGTGCCACCGTTCAAAAATACGGTTTTTTGCTCTTGCACTAATAGTTGAACTAAAACATGATATTTTAGTATACTAATATGATTAGCATGCTAATATGACATTCAAAAATAGACCCCCAGGGATGGCAAATCCATGGCACAGGTGCCCGAGGTGGCACGCGAAAATTTAGAAATCGACGACGCCGTGGGAACTGCTTTCGCATAGCTTCCGCGAATATTATAGGACCTATAATAACCTATAAACTAACCTTTTTAAACTAATACATTAATTATACAATCAAATTATAATATTTTTAATATTTTTTTATGGCACGCTCTAAAAAAAAAAGGTTATTACTAATTTTGGGCACGCAGTGTTCAAAAGGTTTGCCATCCCTGTTATAGACTATTGATGATTGAAATTTGAAGTTATGTTTGAACAACAACTAACCAGGCTTTTGAGGTTAAAATATTGTTAGTAATATTATGAATTTGTATAATTGATAAGATGTGCTAATTTAGAGATAAGATTTATCAGTTTCAAACAATCCTAGTTCATATCTAGTTCATATATGTAAAATTTTTTCATTTTTGTTCACATGTATATTGTAACTGGGCTAGTCCGTTTAATTCTAATAAATAAATAAATAAATAATATAATAGGTACTAAAATAATTGAACAATTATTTTTTTATTATAATTGAATTATATTACAGACTTTGGAACTGAAGAGATATGCAAAGGATTCTTTACCGAGTACTAGGCGTGTTGTAATGTGATACTTTTTCAAAAAGAAACTTCTCAATATGTATAGTTATAAAGAATAAAATGGAAAAAAAGTGTTCTAAGCATTAACAATATGTTGAGTTATATTTGGTAATAATTTATTTTTATCCTTTCATTTTCATTACCCTGTCTACACCTAATATAAACATAACTATAAATTACTAAAACAGTTTTGTTAATTATTTCCAGACTCCATCAATCTAATGAATAAATATTTGATACGATTGGAATAGAGACCCCACAAAGGATTTTCATTTCTGGTGCCAAATTCTGAGATGTCCCTAAAACTAAGACTATTCAAGCTGCGGATGTTTGATTCAATGTTAAAATATTACAATTTGTGGTTCACAAAAGTTAATTATAATAATAAGTTGCTATTAAAATAGTATAATAACAGAAAATTGGTTCTTAATTCATTGTATTATAATTGTGCAGGTTATCTCCATACATAAAACAACATAAACATTAAGCAAAGCCAAAAATAAATCATTTGTTATGTAGTTCTCAGTTAAATAACATTTATTATAAAAATTGTTTTTGGTCATTAGTCATTACTTTACATTATACATACTTATTAATTACTTTTTTAAATGTTTACCTCAAACATTTAAAAACCTAACCTCTGAAAAGATGTATTATAGTCGGGTGAATGAAAAGTGGCCTCTGATGCTTACGCGCCTAGAGGTGAATTTGTATCATTGTACCGCAAAATTATGGAAAAAAACGCACGCATTTTAATTATTAATCATAATGCAATTACGCGCTTTACGTGATCCACTTTGAGAACCCACGGCTTATCGAAAAAAAAAACGTTCCTATCATATTGCAAGCGGCCACTTTTCATTCACTCGACTATAGTGACAAAACACCAAATGAGTAGCACAAAACTAATTTTGGTATTAAATTTGAAGGCACAATTTTTTTTATTTTAAAATAAATTATATTCAATTTTAATGATGACCTATTCTAACATAAATGTATGTAGCTAGCGATGCAAGTATCACTTATAAGTAGAGGTCGGATTTATATTCTTTTAAAATCCTTAAAATATGATGTTTGTATGTCACATAAAATAAGCAATATATTCTCTTAATATTCCTTTAAAATACCAGATATATGATGTTTTATGTCCTTAAATATGCAAAATATTCTTTTGATATAAAAAAAAAAAAACAGTTTAAATTAATTTTTTATTAATTTGGTTTTAAAAATATTTAATTAAATTAATTTTACAATAACAATTAATTACTATATATTGTTCGATGTATAGTCGTGACAGCTAACGAAATAACCGTTGTGCTTTCGCAATCGATAAGGAATACCTGGAGATTAATTTTTATTAAAATCCGGAAATAAATCATTTAGTGAACATTGTATTTATCAAATGCTGATATGCGTGAAATATGTTCATTATATGCCGGGTATCACAAAAATATTCCCAAATATTCTCTAACGTGTTAAATATTCTCTAACCTCTAAAATATGCTTTTTTATGCAAAATAAATTTTTTCCTGTGAATTCTGTGTTTCATGATTCGTAAAGATTTCTCACTCCCATTTAACTGCATAAACTAGAAACAAATATGTAAAATCATAAAAATCCGACCTCTACTTATAAGCATTCACTAATTATAATTTTAAGAAGAGCATTAAGAATCAATAAAATAGAACAAAATAATTTTAAAAACCACAGTACACATATTATGTCTATAACAATATATTATTAAAATGTTAGCACAATTAGAGCACTTCGACATAAGCGATAAGAATAAAAAAAGTTATAAGTTTGAATAACATTGAATATGTTTTTGTGGTTTCTCTATGATATAATCATGAATCTAGATGACCAAGTCTCTATAGTGTCCATGGTTACGTTACTAATTTGAGTCATATCGTTATCTAGTGATGAATTAGTTCACTGCATTATTTAATTATTATTATTGTTATGTCAATTAATTGAATACCAAAAATTAATCCAATAATTAAAGTGCATGTCATATGAATTGCCTAAATATTACTCCTTAAAACATGGTACGCTGGAACTCAATTTACAAAAACATATATTATTATATGTTATTGTAATAGTGTGGAACACCATTACAGTTTCCATATTTTTTTATAATTATAATATTACGTATAGTATTATATATTATACATACATCACAGACTCGTGTGTCATCTTTCATTCATTCTGTAATATCAAAGAGTTCCATCATGTATAAGTATAACTATTTTCAATTATGATGAGTAAACAAAATGTATTATAATAATCGATCTGCCTGCTAGAGTGCTAGACATACGTTTGCAGAACTAGTCTCCTTTAATCGCTTGCTCCGTGTATTATTGCTGCCAAATCGTAGGTAAAGTAAAATAATTTACATTATATTTATTTTATTTTAAATACATGTTAAACTGTACTCGGTATACCTAACTGTCTTGTCGAACATCCAAATCTTCTCACATTCCCCCGTTTGGTATAAATCTTATTACTATTCATTACTGACAGATACACAATTACACACCGTATATCAGCAGTAATAGAAAACAATTAAACTGTTACCAAGTAACATTATGATTCAATGTTTTATAGATTTTCCTTGAAGTTGAAGAACACCAAGTAGCACGCATTTCAGCAGTGTTGTGCTTAGATAATTTTTTTGTATCTAGATATAGATAAGAATATAAGATATATGAACTCAAAATAGAGATAGATAGAGATAGATAATGATAAATTAAAATATATCTAGATATAAATACAGATAAAATCAATTTTATCTAGATGAAAATGAGATGATTTTTTATAAATGATATTCTTAAAACATGATTTTGTTAAATTTTATTTTCATATTAGGTTTGTAGAAAATATGAATACAATTATGAGTTATGACTATATATAATTTTAGTTTAAATTACTAAAAACTATTTAAACGAATAATTATAAAAAAAAATGAACTGAATAGACTATAGTTATAGTACGATACAGCGTACGCGGAAGGTTATGAATGAAGTCATTAGTCAATACTTAATAATTGTGATGGTATGATACTTTTTCCTTGGCAATGAATAATAATAAATAAAATATTTATAACTTGTAGTGGTTAATTAATAAAGGTTGTTGGCGAATGGTGAGTGGACTGAGTGGAGCTGGTGGTTTATTCTTATTAGTTATTGGTATTTTTAAACTATTATAATACCAATATTCCCACTTCCCAGTACTATCGTCTATCAGGTTATTCTTAGACCTTCGACTTGAATTATTTAATATTATTATATAATAAGCTAATCTATTGTCGTCTGTCGACGATCAACGATACAATTATTATTAATTTCTTAAAAGTGGTGCACATTAGCGACAAATGACAATAATAATACTAGGTACCTAAATATATACGTATAATTAATTAATTATATTATATACTATACAATTTTAAAAATAATACCAGAAAACATAATGTTGGTATATTTTTCAGATTACGTCTCTTGAACAATCTAGATAAATTAATTTAGATGACGAAGTTTTCTATCTTAGATGACAGGTAGATACCAATTGTGTAATTTATCTAGATAAGATAAAAGATACGATTGTTTTATCTAGATAAAGTATCTAGATAAATTTATCTAACTAAATTTAGCTATTGCACAACACTGCGCATTTGTAACATTGTTTTTTTCAAAATATGAGAACTCCTTTTTATTGTTATATTTATTATTCATTCGGCAGCGTACACTTATCATTGTCGTTATATTTTAGTTAATTATTTACGAAGACACTAAACTTACAGGCGTTGTCTCCGTCTTACAAACGCATATTTGATAATAAAATTAAACAAACCATAATACCATATATAATTTAACTGTTATGAGTCATAACTTATGACTGTTACTTTTAACTTTGGTGTAAATTGATTAATTACCTAATTTAGAAGTAAGAATATTCTCTAGTGAATAATATAAGTTTTTATATTTTAGTTAAACTAAATTAAGGCGAGTTATGAAGATTTCAAAATGTACAACCATTTTATTATTTTATTATTTTATTGGTGCTACAAAGTACTTGAGAGTAATAATATAAGCTTTTACATAGATATCGAATTTAAATTTTATGATTTAAGGGGGCTGTAGCGTAATCCATTCTAAGGAGTAAAAACTAGGCATTTTATATTACAGTTCATCTAGACCATGTCAATGTGTTGGAAGTAAATGAAGATTAGTGTGTGTAATTCGTAATAGTGTACTCTCCGAATTACACTATTGTCTATTCGTCTAAAAACCGGTTTGATATTTTAGCCGTTGTCATTAGACATGTTACAATTTCCCCGAATCTACTATAATACTAATGACGATAACATAATAATATTATTACTATTTATTATTATTTATACCTAATTAAATGGTAATAAATAATGATCAATACTTCTTAGTAAATCGATTTATAGCTAGATAACAATACTACAATTCTTATAGTATAACTACTCGGCTACCGTAATGTGCCGCACACAGATTTCCTTCACATATTATATTGAAGTGGCGGTAATTTTAGCCTAGCCAGACATAGTTTACAGGTACTGCGATGACACCTCCGTAAGACAACAGCATTTGCATTCAACAATATGAATGTGGGCCAGTGGTAAAAAGATGAAGACTTTATTTTTATAATTTTGAATAATTTAATAGTAGTTGATTAGGTTAAAATAGTTTTACATAGATAATATCATAATTCATAACAAATTGTGTACCGTAATCCGTTATTTTATTAATTAATAATTATAAAAATTTATTTTCATTAATGTTTCTTCTTTTATCAAGCTCGGCAAAAGATGTTCAAAATAAAAAAGCTCCATTTTAGGTTTCATACTATTTGTGTCTATACGACTGTATTACATTACATCTTGACGTGTACGAAAGGAATAAATCTCATATTTTAATATTTGTAAGTAGTTCTAAACTATTTTAGGAAAATATCAATATTTCGAGTGTCTAGACAAACATTTTTAACTATTCCTCTATAATGTATAACATAATTGAATATCTAAGCATAATAAATATAATATCGCTAAAAAATATAAAACCTGCTATTACCTAAACCTTTATGTATAATAATATATTCTGTACATATTATTATAAAACTAAAATATACATCAACTTTTCGAATATTTTTAAAAATATTTACATCTATCAATGAACCATGTTACTGCATAAAAACATAAAAACCACGTTATTGATTTCTAGAGTAAACATCGATTCTAAACATCGCATAACGTGATAGAACACGTATGACACATTTTGCAAATAATTCT